CCTGCCCCCGTCTTTGAGCGTGCCCCGTGGCCCTCTGCACTGTTGGGGGGGGGGTCCGTTTCCGGGCACGCAGCAAGGCGAAGGCGAATGAAACGAGCCCCTCCGCGTGCAGATGCGCCGACGAGAGACCTGCAGCGGGTCACGCCCTCCACCTGCCTGGCTTTGCAGCCCCCTCTCCTTGCTCTCCCGCTCCCTTGCTCCGGCCTTGGATTTCGGTCAGGACTGCGCTGGTGTCAGACCCCCCTGTTCGCACTCAGCCCCCCCACTTGCAAGACGCCCCCTTTCCCGGCACGGCTTCGCGTGGCTCCTACTAGCAATCCGTATCGGCTAGTGGTGTCGGCGGGGCGCACTTGTTGCCCGCAGCGTTCTGGGCAGCCAGCAACCACTTACTTTGAAAGCGGGAGCTCTGTGAAACTTCCTTCTTCCTTCTTCGTTTCCTCGGTTCAGGCTCAGTCTCCCGAGGCCACTCAGGTCTGGCTACACAGGCTGGCTCGGTGGTCTTAGGCCAGTGGCAATCAGTAGAGAAGCCAAACTTCCCCCTCTCCATCCTCGCTCTCCCTCTCCCCCGCTCCCTCCCGCTCACCCCTTTCCCAGGCTTCACTCTCCCCTGCCACCTTCTTCATGGCTGGAGTTCTGTTTCATTCCTTAGAAGGCCCTGCGGGGCAGCATCCCCCTCTCCTCGTTAGGTGGCAGCGGCGTTTCTGCGGACTTATTTGGAGCAGGGAGCGGGCAGTGCCCCAGAAGCGAGGCCTTTGAGTGAAGTGCAGATTGAGACATATCGGGATCCCTATAAAAGGGTCATTTCGCGAGGGAGGTTGGACACAAGGTTTGGACTCGTGACTGGCATTCCTGAGAGGCCTGCATATTTTAAAAACAACAAAGCGAGACCCCAAAGAAGGGCTTAGGGGGAGAGAAGAAGGGAAAGCGGGGGGCGGGGGGGAATGGGAAAGAAGTTACTAAATGACAAACATCTGTCAATATGGGCTAATTCGGACGCTTTGCTGCGAGAAGAAACTGATCACTGGGTATATGCAAAGATCTTTGCCCTGTGTGTGTTTAATCCGAGCAAGTTTATAAAATGGATCTGAGAACAAACCAAATGGGAAAGATTGAACTAAAAAGTCTTTCGGATTAAAGTCACATCTTCTATCCGCCCCACGCCACCATCCTAATCTCCCCTCCCCTTTGCAAACCGTTTCAGAGTAGGGAGAAATCCAAACGTCTGTCAATGGAAAAAGAAGAAACAAAGAGGCCAGAAGAAGCACAAGTGATCTGAGAGTCCCCGTTTCTCTTTCTCGCCCTCCTCCCTGCCCCCTCCCAACTCTCTTCCAGACAAGTTTTATTCTCCTGAAATTAGATTATTTAATTCCTTTCTAGAATGTCTTCTCTAACGATTGAAGATCACTCAGGCCGGTGTGCGATGGAAGGGTGTCTTTTGGGCCTACGTGTCTGGAAAGTGGCAGCAACTTCACTTTTCCGGACGCTTCTGACTGTCGGAACAGATTCGAAGCGCGGACTGCGGCTGGGAAGGAGAGAACGAAGTGGGGCGGAAGGACGCAGGGCGGGCATCGGGATCCTGGTGCTGAAGAGACGGGGCTGGACTGGCGGAGCTGCGCCGGAGGCAAGGATGAGATCCGCGGCCGGACCTGGCAGCCGCTCCGTGTGCAGGCAGGGCCCGCCGAGAAGCCCGCCGCTCCCGGAGACAGCGGGAGACAAAAGGAGACGAGGCCTAGTGGTGAGCTGGATATCTCTGTTAGTTGTCAGCTCAGGTCTCGGGGTAGGCAAGGAATGCTAATCAGCCATTGGGCGCGCGGGGGGGCGCGCTCTTAGGCCTCGCAGTCGCGTCATCTCTCACTCTCTCGCACACACACAGACGCACGCACGCAGGCACGCAGGCAGCGAGCCCCCTGCCCCGTTCCAGTGGCACCGCATACGCTCGCCTTTGTGCGCGCACCCACTAACTCCAGTCGCCTGCGCAAGGAAGGCTCTTCCACCAACCGGTGAAATGGGCTGGAGCCCAAGGGCTTGGCTAGTCGACCAGCGGGAGTGACTTGTTGGAGGCCTGGCAGCCGTGAGGCTGGAAGAATTCACGCTCGCACGGGAGCGAGCGAGTTTGACACGGGTGCTGCCCCGGGCCTTCGGCGCTCGCAGACGCCGGGCTCTCCTGCTCCGTCCTCCACGGCTCTCTGCTCTCCTGCTTCTCTCTCGCCCGGCCCTCCCGCGCACACGCGCGTGTTCTGCCGCCCTCCCTAAGCAGAGCATCGATCGCTGACCTCACGCTTTGGCCACTGCTTTATCTTTCTGCCCTGGCAATGATATTATCAGCCACACGTTACACACGGCCAACGTCTTCCTAAATCAACACACAAGGAGAACTTCCCGGAGTGGCAGCCCGGCTGCTCCTTTGCCTTCCAGGAGTGCGCTCTCGGCGGCGCTCCCCTCCTGCCGGGGCCGGTTTCTGCCCCTGAGATTTGAAAGGGATCCCCTCTTTTTAGCTCGGTGAGGGCTCTGCCCCCGCGGAGGTGCATGTGCACCGTCGTGCAGCCGCGATGGCTGTTACTTCCAGGGATCCGGCTGGGCTGTCCAAAAAGACTGCTCAGTGCTATAGTTTTCAAAATGGGAGGGGGCGATCATCCAATTTCCCACTGTTCTTTCTGTTAATTGCTTTCTTTCCTAGTAATTATATTTATAAACCGATTTGCTTCTTTCCATGTTATGGCTTTGTGTTTCTAATAGAAGCCACGTGGTGCAGGGGGGAAGATGCCCCCCCCGCGAAATGCATTTTCTCTTCAGAGTCTTGTTTAAAATTGCAAGCCACAGCATGCTTAATCAGGAATGGAGCTGTTTGAAGTCAATGGGACGGACTTTGGAGCAAGGGTACCACAGGATCGGGCCACTTAAGAGTGTTTCCCGCCCCCTCCTCAGGGTCGGGGCCTTAAGGTGAAACTCAGAAGCTTGACGCCACACCCAATTACTCCGGCATCCAGCGGAAGATGGGAACTGGCAACTGAAGGAGATCAGGCCAACGCGTCCTACCAGTATCCCCCCTCCACCTCTCCCCACCCCGAGTTTTCTACAGGTGGCTGCACCTTTCGTAAGGCAAATCGTTCGCGCCCTTCCCCGCGTTGTCGGGCCTTTTGGTCCCACACCGGAGCTACCGTCTCTGGATTTCAACCCCGCAATTCCTACTGTTGCCGCTGCCTCCGCCTGTTTCAAGTCTGCAACTCAACACATCAGCATCGCCAACCGTATTCATAATTACTCATGAGTAAGTCCCTCTGAGGTCAGTGAGGCTACTTCCAAGTGAGCGCACCAGGGTCGCAGCATCACCGGGGAGGTGCCGCCGCCGTACCGGTGGGGACTTCCTCCTGAGTAAACAGGCTTACGGGAATGCTTTAGCGGATCAGCGGCGAGCTGAGACCTTCTGTTTCATTTGGATGCTTCCAACGAATGCTCAGGCCTCCGAGTAGGAACGGGGAGCGGAGAGGCGGACCTTGCGCATGGAGAAGAGAAGCAGCGGGAGAGTCGCCAGCTTCTTTTCTGCACGTTTGCCCTGACTTCCAGATGTTTTCTGCTGCTTCTTTCCTGCGATGGGCGTGGGCGCGGGCGGGGAAAGAGGGAAGGGAGAAAAATCGGGAAAGTGTATTTATTTAGGAAGAATAGTTCATTCCAGTCCTCAATGATTTTTGTTTGTTTGTTTTGAAGCAGCAACCCAAGTTTGAAAATGGATCCGCTGACAAGTAAGGATAATAAATGAGGGGCGCTTTCAGATAGATATCTCAGACGTGAAATTGCGCCCAGCTGGTTGTGTAGACAAACAAATCGTTCCATGTTCGAAGCTCTCGACTTGCGGCTTGATGAATAGAACACGACAGAGGTAAATGGCTCTTTAACTCATTTAGCAATAAGACTCGTTGCCTTCCCAAGTCAAAGAGCCGGGAACGACGTGGATCCGGAGCAAGCCCTTTAAAGCAGTTTTATTGGCTTCCCTGGTGACACCGCTGCTCCCCAGTCTGTCTCTTAACCCCTTCGCAAGGAGGGCCCTCAAGACACCAGTTGACTAGAAAATTCCGACAGGTTGGGCAAGGTGCATCCTCATGGCATCAGCATCTGCCAGAGTGATTAGGGCTGACCACGACTTTTCTCCTGGAAGCTCATTAAAAATAACCCATGGCATCTCTTCCCCCCCTACTTCCCCATTTCTTCCCCTGGTGTTGGAGATCTGTGCTGGTTTTGGATTTGTGTGTCTGTATTTTTGTTTTAATCATACCCAAATTTATGACACAAAGGTAAAGAAAGGGATTTCATGCCCCCCCCCTTTTTTTTTGCTCAGAAAGGGAGAGAAGGAAATGAGATTCCATTCCAGTATATAAAAATAATTCCAGGATTGGGGGTGGGAATTGTTTCTTTCAAATGGCAGAAGAATGAATTCTCCTTAAGACTCTGTGAAGGGGACCTAATGACTGTTTCTTAAAACAGAGAGTAATGAGCTTGACTTTTCAGGCAAAGTAAGTCTCAGCCTTACTTAGAACTGGATCCTTGGGTCCAAAAGGCATGCTCAATATTGAAGTGAGCAGTTATAGGCCTGTATGTCTTTCTGTCTCTCCAAATTTAGGAGGCAGGGGTGAGGGAGGGGGGTCAGTCATTCCTTGGGGAGGGGGGTCTATCTGCCCCTCTTTTTTTATTTACTCCCAAGAGCAGTGTGAATCTATAACTCTTTCCAACCACTTCAAAGACATTTTGAGCTCTCTTCCTCTTCATGAACATTTTGCCTTCAAATAGGAACTCCTTGACTTTCCTATGACACATCTTTTTTAAAAAAGAGAGAGAGCTGTGCTGAAAGGAGTGACTTTGGATTAAAAAGAATGAGATCTATTTTCTTCTTGGTACTTTAGGAGGAAGACATGATAAGTCAATTTTGCCTTTTACAAGGCAGAATGGCCCTCAGTCTTAAGCTTTTGACCACAAAGCTTTCTCTGTCTTATTTATCACCGCCACAGTATTTTTAATTGCATCTGAAATACATTTATTAATCACCTCCCCCTTCAGTGACGCTAAGTGTGACTGAACAAAGTGCTTTCTTTCTTTCCCGTCAATAATTCTGCTTAGAAGCCTCTGATAAACAGAAGAGCTCTATTCTAGTTAGCTGGTAAAAAAGATCACAGTCTAACTCTCATATCACTAAGCCTGGCACCGTGTTATAAAATCACCCTGACCCTGTCCATAACCAGTTGGGCTGAAGACCATTCATCATGCAGACTTAGATGCCTTTACATGGAAATCAAGGCAGAGTGACGCAACTGACTTCCAGTTTGCAATCTGGGTTTACAGTCAGTCCCCTTGTCTTTTTTAGGCTCCCAGCATTTATACTTAAAATGACCAATGCTTGGCAAAATGCACAATTTCAATTTACCACAGTCAGTCTAAATCAGTTTTACACCTTAAAGTTTTGTTGTTGACCTTGAATACTACTGAAAATTTACAAACACATGCATTTCCATGTTGCAAAACCACCACCATCATCATCTTTGATTAGGAAGTTTGCAGTTCTCAAGATCTCCCCCAGAGAGGCTCCAAATGACTAGAAAATGCTTAACAGGAAGCCTGTTTGAGAGGCAAAAAAATGGTTTATTGTGGCACAATATTTCAAAACTGATTTGGTAGGGAAATTGAGAACTGGCCAACTTCTTCAAGAACAGACCCTATAACTGGAGCAAAAGCTAGCAGAAAGCTTGGGAAAGTAGTAGACAGGTAGCACTTTTTATCTTAGGCATTAAGCAAAGCTCATCCAACATTAGATTCTATTTCTGTCAAAGGGTAATAGATTTGTGGCCGGGTGACAAGTCAAATGGAGATAAGACCATGGGAAATTGGCTTGGCTTTTACCAATCTCTTGAAGTGACTCCATTCCCATAAATTTAGGATAGGGTCTAGCCAGATTTTTTCTTGAGGCCTAAGGGTCTGAGATTCTGCTGAAATGTCAGCAACTCTAGCATCATTGGAATGCCCTTCTCTAAGGCAAACTGGCTGAATCAGGACAGGAGATTTCAGTACTTTCTCCTTAGACACAAAGCGCAAGGAGTCCCACAACCCAGAAAATCAATACCCTTCCCTATACCTTATCTAGACTAGGCAAAAAATCCTGATCACATTTTAGAAGTATAATTTTGTATTATTGTCCTTCATCAAGTGAAATTTAAAAAGAATGAAGGTGGGACAATAGGGAAGAAGGAAAAGGATGGTTTGTACAAAATCTTATTTTTTACTTCATCAAAAGGATAACTTCACAATGGATACTGTGACTTGTGTTAAGAAGAAAACACATTTGGTTCAATTTACTCAAGGATCTTCATCTTAGCAGGGGCAGTATGTTTAAGGACGGCCTCAGATGCCTCCCTTCCAGGAAAAAAGGAAAAAAACCAAGGCATGCTAGGCCGGCCCTAGGCCATTCAGCTGAAGCTAGATTCTTCGAGGAATGCCCAAGTGAATCAGGAAATGCCCAAAGAGCACATTTTCCAGCCTGCCTATTGAAACTGACTAGTCCATACAGACTCTAGCTGCTGGCAATGGTGATTATGCAGCTTTAAGTGCCCACCATATAAAATGTGCTCTCTCTTGGTCTCTCCGCTGGTCTTCTGCATCTAGAATATTCAAAACAAAACAAAACAAAAACACAAAACCCAAGTGGGTTGGACTGAAGGCTCTCATTAATGCAAATGAAAACAAACAAACAAACAAAAATCTGGAGCAGGAAAGCAGCAAATTAACAGTAACTTCTCCAGTTGAAAATCCTGGTTGTGTTTGGAGGGAGAGCAATTGACTGGAGAGAGAGGATGGGGGTGGGGGACCTATACGAATGTTATTTTTAAAGATTTGGCTTTATTAATATGTTAAGAAAGAGCTCCCTTGGCAGTATGTGTTCTTACAGCTCCGTCTCAGATCCTATAAAACATTAATGCACTGAAAGCTGTTACAGAAGATCTGCAGCACCAGCTTCAAGCACTGGGAAAGTCTATACTTTCAAAAGGAGCTCCACTCGGAGAATGAATGGCACATAGCCGGGGGAGGGGGTCGTGTGCTTTTAGAGGAGGCTCGGCATCAGCTTTCAAGGAGAGCTGCCTATGTGCCCACAGGAATAGGGGCACATGTGTGTCCTTGGGCCTGAGCACAGTTCAACACAGACATGTGTACATATCTCTTTCCTTTTGGTACATATGTAACTACCACAAATCTAGTCCTTCATTTCTCTTGGGAGCACACAGGGAAAGGGAAGCATTCCTTTGCTAAGATACTCCCTACTTTTCTTAATCACACAGAGACAATAAGCCAGCTAGCTTTGGGAGTGATAGAAGAACCAGGCTAAAGTCACCAACCTCGTACCCCAAAGTACACCAGGAGTAAATCTTCTGTGCCTGATCCTGGGACCTTGAAACTGTGTTCTGCTGTCTATATAAAGTGGGTGGTTGTGGCAGGGAGAAACAAGATCATTTTCTTGATCTGAAAAGGTGTGGGGGAGCATTCTAGGGTCATGAAAGCTGCCCCCCCCCATTTGGAGCCTGGATGCTGTGCACAGAAGAATCCCTAGCAAGCTAAGTGGCACCTTCTTCAGCACTTTCCTCGTGCCACCTTCTGTCATCAGACCCATATAAAACCACTCAGTCTGAGCATGGCCAGAGATGTGCACACCTTAACAGAAATGTGGCCAAGGTACTTAGTGGTTTGAAGCTATTTTCTGGAGTCCCAAGGGGCTGGAATGTGTTTTCAAAGACTTGGGGTGTGTGTGTGTGTATAGGGGTACCCCATTGCAAACCCAAACAGGAGGTCTGCTTCGTGGAACAAAAAGTCATGGATTGGCATCGGATTTGCTGTTGATGCTGTTGCTGGGTTGCCTTTTTGTTCTCGTTTTTTCTTTTTTTCTTTTTGCTAAATTCTTTTATTTTTGTTTAAATTCTCACTTCAATTTTAATTCTTGAAGAACAGCTTCGACAACATATATCGCACTCATTATAAGAAGCAAAGGGTTATATCAAAAATTATTAGTATAGAATCACAGGAAGCCTGGTTTGGAACCAGAAAAAAATACAAAACAGATATAGATACATACACACAGAACAATTCCTTGTTTTTTTTAATAATTATTTGGAAAATGTTATTTCCCCCTCCCCTAATTTTTGTTTGTTTCATGTGTTTTCCCCCTCTCCTTAATGCGCATACGATGTTTAAATTTTACAAAAAAAGTGAAAATAAAGACTAATTATCTTACAAAATGAAGAACAATGTTCGTGGTAAGTGTTTGTTTGTGGGTTCCCTTCCCCTTCTCCCCTGCGTCAGTCAGTTCGGCTTCAGCTTGGTTCATTTGTTTTGCTTTGTTTTAAACTGTGTGTTTGTTGCTGTACAGACGATATCCACCTCAGTCCATCATAAATCCAGGAAAATCCATTCTAGTCTTCTTTTGGAGGGGGCTTATATTAAAATCCCTTCAGTCCTTTTTCTTTTTAAAGTTTCCCATCTCAGTGTTTTGCCTGTTCCACAAACACGAGGTGTCCATTTCGCCTCTCAGCCTGGGTCTGATCCTAAGCGAGTCCTTCGTTCAGTGCCTGCGTTTTCTGATTATACATCTCTCGCTCTCGCTGCTCTCCCCTCTCCCTCTCCCCCTCTCAGCCCCCCTCGCACTCCTCGGCCCCCCCGGCTGTGCGCGCCCCCGAGGGGACGGGGCCGGTCTGTCGCGCTGGAGGGCTCCTCCGGGTCGCTCCGCGGGGGAGGCCACGCGGTGCTCTAGGAACACTGGATGGACATGTAGGGCCAGTTGAAGCTGCTGCCGGAGAGCAGCATGTCTCGGATGAGCGTCTCGATGGGGGTTTTACCTACCAAGCGGACGAAGAAGAGCTGCTCGATGACCGAGGACGAGACGGTGCGCAGCGAGGGCAGCCGCAGCAGCAGCTTGCCGAAGCGGCTGGGCTGGTTGGGGTACTGGCTCCGCACGTACTCCTCCAGGGCGCACTGCGACTTCTCCTGCAGGCTCTCGATGTGCGCCGCGTCCGACAGGCCACAGGCGTCTGGCCAGCCACGCGGGGCGGCGGCGGCGGCGGGGAGGCAAGAGGGCGACACGGTTAGCGAGCGGTGGCCACGGCGCCGGGCCGGCCACGGACCCCCGCTCCCGCCCCCCCCCCCCGCGCCGCCTGCGCCGCGCTCAGACAGGCCCGCCGCGACCCCAGACGCCCCCGCCCGCCCGCCCGCGCGCCCCTCCCCCTCCCTTTGTGTTGCTTCCTTCACCTTGCGAATAAATAATGGAAGACGCGGAAAGGCGGCTGGGAGGGAAGCCGGAGCCATCTTTCCCCGGCCCGCCCGCCCGCCCGCAACCTGGCCCTGCCTCGGTCGCCTCCCCGGGCTGCATCCTATTGTTATCCCGAGGACGCACGCACCGTCTCTCTCCCCCACAGCCGCCCCCCCCCAAGAAAAAACCCCGAGCAACGAAACAGGCACACACACACTCCCCGGGAGAGACGGACAGACGCCCAGCCAGCCCGCCCGGGGACGGGGGGCTTTTCCCTCCCGTAAGTCCTCCCACAGCAGCCCCAGGCTCCTGATCAGCTGAAGGAAAAGGCTCCGGGGTGGAAGAAACGGGGCCAAGCAAGCGCGTGCAGAGCTGAGCTCCGAGCCAGGCGAGGATTTGAAGTCGCTCGCACGAAAGGCTGCTGTTTCCATTTCCGAAAGAGAGGTGGGGCGGGGGGAGGCCCTGCTTTGTCTCGGGATCTCAGAGATCGAGTAATTGAAAATTGGTCACATCTCTGTAAGCTGTATAATCATTGCCAGGAAGATGGCTCAGTCCCCCCCCCCCCCGCGCGCCCGGCTGCCCGCCCGCCCTCCGCCTCCTCCCAAGCCTGTGCTAAGCAGGCGTCTGCAGCTGCTCTCGCCCGTCCGCTCGCTCGCTCGCCCGCTCGCACGCACAAAGCTGCGCCGGCTGCATCGCCTGAGCTGGTGGGGCTAAAACCTGGCTAGAAAAAGGAAGGCCGGCGGAGAGCCTGAGAAGCGCCCAGTTGTACGTTGACTAGGAGCATCTCTGACCCCGCAGCAGAGCTAGAAAACGTCCTAATGGGAACACACACCGCCCACGGCTCGCTCGCTCGCTCGCTCCCTTCTTCCTTTCCAGGTGGTAGGAGAAAGAAAGAGTTTAGGGATTACCCTTCTCTCTCCCCCACCCCAATTTTTAAAAAATCCATGTCCTGCTGAGGTAGGGGTGACAGAAAGAAGCTGCTCTCCCAGGTGGTGGATTAGCCATGCTCAGGAAACCGCAGGGCAGGAAAATGTCGAACCGTTGTCGTCTCCCTCGCTCAAATACACGACCTGTTTTCTTATATGAATAATAAATATTTCAAAACACTGGGATCACAAGCCAGCAGTCAGCGAGCAGGACGCTTTAGCGCAGATCAAAGGCAGCCTTTGCTAATATATAGATCTGTATATGAATGAATCTCAGGGTAATGGCCCCCAAAAGGACGTTACAAAATTGCAAATGTGAAATGATGACTCTGAAAAAGGCGCTGCAGTCTTCTTCAAACAAATAAAAAGCAGTATCTTTTGGGGGAATAGCGAGGAGGTGTGCTGGCTCATCTTTGTGTTGGCCATTGAAGGTTCTTCCCGTTTCCAGAGCTGCCTTTAAATAGCCTGCCAAACACCTTCAGGTCCACGTCTCTGTCCTCAGGCGTATTCAGAAATTAACGAGCTATAATTCAGCTGCTTCTGAGAAAAAAGCCCCCCACGACCTGAGCTACGGACTAAGAGCGCTTGCATGTACAGCAACCCACGCCCCGCGGCTGTGCCCATCCGTGCTGTGGCCTGAAATGCGGCGATCATTTACGACATCGCAGAGCAGAAGGAAAGGGAAGAGGTGGGTGGGGAGGGAAAGGTAGCCTCTCCCAGGAACGCCGCCGAAAGGTCTTGTCCTTCTTTGCGGTCGAGAGTGGAGAGTCAGCCACCGCCTCCTTAGGTGGTGAATGTCAGAAATCCCCTCTGCTTCGCCATCCAACTTCTAGCTCGCCATTTGCCATGTACTAGTCGCCCCTTTATGCCAGGGACTTCCGCACAGCATCCAGACAAGGCAGGATTAATGATGCCAGCTGCCTCTTCAGAGCGTGTCTTGGGAGGCCTCGTCCCTTCCCTCGGCTAGAAGAATACTGCCTGCTTTCCCCAGGGCAGGACCACTCGTGGGGCCCGGAGAAAGGCACAAGCAGCGATCCCCTCTCCTGCCATTTCCTATTTCCAATGGATATTTCATAAAAGGCTTTCTCTGTCTGTCCGTCTGTCTGTTTTTAAACCCCCTTTCCCATGATACCTGACTGATTCTATTTGGCACCTCTTGTAGTAAATGCGATTCAGTTGAGTGGGACTTAATTTTGTTCTTTTCAAGCAAACGGGGTGTGTGTGGGGACGCACTCATCCTTGGTCGTGTAACCAGAGGATCTGAAAATTAATTAAACAATCTATGCTATCCAATCGATTAGCTGATTGAGTTGAGATGAAATAGACCAAAGAAGGAAAGCAATGCATATTCACCTTCTGTGAATTACATCTCAGCAAGGAGTGGGGGCTGCGATGGGAGGGGAGAAGGGAGGGTTTAGGTGGAAATTGTGCGTGTCCCACTTTTTAAGATGGTCATATTTCTTCCTGCAGTCATTATTTCTCAATATTTCTTCCTCCAGTGTATGGCAAAGAAATGATGTAAATAAATAATCATTACTGTTCAGCACACACCAACCTGGGCCTTTGTGCTACTGGGAGTGTATTTCATGTAACGCATCCAGGAGAGTTTAGTGCTCAGAAAATATAGATGTAATCAGCTTCCATATAACGAGAAATCAAAGTTCTTATGGCTCAGGAGAAAGATTTATTGAACTGATCTTATCTAACGTGATCCTTCCGTGAGAGATTTTATATATCAAAGTTGTGGGTGGAGGGAGGAAAAGTAGAATGGCAATCTTTAACAGAGTTTGCATATATATGTGAAACAAATCAGCAAGCCAGGGCTACTTTCGGGTCAATGTTCAAGGCTCCAAACTTTTGTGGATGCAAAGTAATCTCTGAAACCCAAATAGGGAGATAGTTTGAGTTTAGAAGAAATTATGAGCCAGAACCAGAATAACTTCCAAGCCAGTTTAAGCACTTATCCTGCCTCTTAAGCACCACCCATTCAGAAACAAAACTCGTTTTGCCTTTGGGATCAGATAGTTGAGAAAACCTCTGGAGCCAGGTGGCTAAAAATGTCTTTTCCATCAATCAAAGTTTGCTTAAAAAGTTGAATGACTTGGTGAAAGATTTGCCATAGATTACCTTCAGGCTAGCAATCAAAACAAGATTAGATCCAAGTGGAAATGGGTGTTTATGAAATTTGAAAATGTGTGTGGGGGAACTGGGGGAGAAAAGAAAGAAAGAAAGAAAAGAAAAGAAATAGCTACAGTGGCAATTTTATTTCTATGAGGTTTGTGGCTACTCTGCTCACTCGACTCAGCCAAATCCTGGAAAGTGTTATTTCCATTTATCTGGGGATGCATAGCCTTAGGGGAAAGGGGGAGCATTCTGTGCAATTAAATGGAAGGACATGCACAAATACATAAAGATGTAAGAAAGCTGTTTGATAAAGTCATCCAGCGCTGACTGGGGATATGATGTGAAGAAATGGAAAGAAAGTACCTCTTTGGGGGTCAGACCTTTAGCCAGGGGTCTTTGGCAGCAAAGCCAATAAAGCATCCAGCCCCTTTCTTTTAATACGTTGCCTAAAAGCTGTATTTTCAAACTAGCCTAGCTATTTCCCCCACCATCAGTTTAGATCTAACCGCCCCCTCTACACTCACCCTCCCCAAATGAATTAATGGGTTAACAAAACGCATGCAAGACTACAGGGGGACCCTCCAGTTAAATCACCCTGAAAAATGTCACCAGACTCTCTTTTTGTCAGTTCTGAAAAAGCACATTTTGGTCAGGAAAGAAGCCTGGAGATAAAATGCGCCCAAACGTCTCCGTGGCTGTTCTGTAAATCTCCCCATTTGTTCTAAGATCTGCGCTTGATCCTCTGCAAAGAAAGAGACTTGCTCTTTCCGCCACCCTCTCGCCGGCCTGCATTTGCAGCCAGAGGAACAGGGGGGGCAGTCACAGTCCACGTCTTGGAGCACCACGCATACCAATGAGATGTCCCTGTCTAAATAAATTATCCGATGTTCAAATCGATATTAATACTACATTTGCTACATTACAATATTGTGCAAATTTAAGAGTCATTTGACTACAATGTAAATACTATTCCTCATGCATGAAAGGCAACAAATGTTGATGGATTCCTCCTCCCAGCCAGACCCTCAGCAAGTCTGGCCACTTCGCTCCTGAGAGCTTTGTATATGGCCTAGGCCCACTTTTTAGGCACGGGGGAGAGAATTTAATGGCACCAGATTAGGATCCTGAAGGAAATGGATTTTTGTGACACACACAAAGTTTTTAAAAGGTGCTGGATTAACGCACACACACACACAAACACACACACAGTGCCCTAAATGCCACCACCAGGTCTCCTTATCTTTGTTTCTCATTCCATGCGCTTTGATGTTTATATATGTCCCCTGCACAGGTTACAATAATAAAGGATGTCTTATATTCTTATAGGCTCCAACCAGAGCACTTCAAAGGCGACATCAATGCACTCTCCTGCAAAGTTAATTTGAACCATCTATCATAAGCAAAATTGCTAACATGCCCGTTACCCCGCCTACCCTTAATTTGCCATTTTTTCAGGCAATCTGTTACATTTCCCAGAATTTGCATGGTTTTGCATTGTTTGTTTGTTTGCTTTGAAAAAGAGGTAAAAATGAAAGAGAACTATATCTGCAGGTTGATACTTGCAGCCCTGAGGCTGCATTTCCTTTCCTCCTCCTTATTTTAAAGGGAGAAATAAGTCCCCCTTTTTTGGCACTTGAATCCATTTTTATGAGCCTCACTAACCACAGCAACTGCAAATATGAATGGTTTCCGATAAGGGGAGAATCAGGCAGCAATAAAGCAGTACTATTTATGATTTATTTGTGCTTCTGCCTTTCTTATTTGAGCAAGCTCTGGCGAGAAGCCCTCTCAGCAAGGCCTTAAACCTCCTCCTCTCTTTCTTGCTCTCTCTTTCGTACATGCACACACACAACCCACAACTAAGAGGGAAAAGTGTGCAGGGTTTTTAGGCTTCCGCCTCTCCCTGCACAGGCACACATTCCCGCAGCCACAGGCAATCACCTCCGTGTCACACAAGGCAGCACCTTAGGTCTGTCAATCTCACCCAGGAGGCCTGCCAGCCCAGCGCGATCCAGCCAAGGAGCCTTTGCTCAGCCCGCCCTTCCACTCAGGAAGGAACGGGCCTCCGCGAGGAAAGGGATCCACTTTCCCAGCATCAGCTGACTTCGCCTGAAGGGAATTAAGAGGATCGCGGCCTGGCGGGGGGGGGGGGGGGGGCGCGACCTGCTTTGGCCTGTGCCGGGGCAGCCCGGAGCGGGGGAGAGCGCAGCGCCCGGGGGAGATCGCCAGGGCATCCTCCGTGCTCCGGGGGTGCCGCTGTCACCCACCCACCCCGCCTGCCAGCCCCTCACCGCCCACTCGACTGACCTGACGTGAAGAGGACGATGGCTTTGAGGCAGCTGTACTCGGCCGAGTCGACGTGCAGGGCCTTGAGCTTCTCCACTTGCTCCTGGAAGATGCGGATGTGGTCCATGAAGGCCACCACGCGGTCGGCGGACATGGGCGAGGCGTGCAGGCCCGCGGCGGCCAGCAGCGGCGCCACGTGCAGCGGCATGGAGCACTGGGCCGCGTTGAGCACGAAGAGCTCGCTCCAGGTGAGGCGCAGCAGGGCCACCTGGTCGGTGATCTGCAGGTCCGGGAAGAAGGGGATGTTGCGGGCCCACTCGACCGCGCTGAAGAGCAGCCGCGCCGCCAGCTCGCAGATGTTCTCGATGCCCATGATGTTGTTGGGCTGCATGCACTGGCTGCCGTAGCGCGACGTCGGGTACGGCTCGGCCCGCAGCAGCAGCGAGATGTAGCCCGACAGGTAGCAGTGCCCGTTCAGCGGGTCGCCGTTGGTCAGCGCGTACTGGCCCGGGTTCGGCTGGCTCGGAGGCATCCTTCCTCGCTGAACCGCTGACGAAAAGAGGGAGAGAGAGAGAAAAGGAGAGGAAATGTGCATCCGGCAGCCTTGGCAGGACCCGGCTCGCCAGCCGCGCGCGGGCGACGCCTGCTCCCCGCAGCAGCAGCAAAGCACCCGCGGACGCACTCGCGCGGGCGGGCAGGCGGGCGGGCGGGCGCGCTCCTCGCTCTCCCGCACAAGGCGCAGCGCTCGGCGGGGCGGGGGGGGAGGGGGAGGGCGGCGGGCGCACGGTGCAGCCCCCCCCGGACCGGCATTGTTGTGCAAATGGGCCCCCGGACCCCCTCCTGCAAGGCTGCCCTGCCCTGCCCTGCCCTCCTCGGAACAGTATTATTATTATTATTATTATTAATCATAATTCGATGATTAATAATATCACGTCAGAACAACAACAACAACAACCCAAACAGCTCTTGCCAGAAGGACAAAAAGTCAGGGCCCACCTCCGAGGTGCTCCCAGCTATTCTTTCCAGGGAGCCAAACAGCCATCCTCCTCGACCCCTCAGTCAAGCCAGGCAAGCTCCAAAGTTGCTGGGATTCCGGAAGACCATCAAGCAAAGCCTCTGTGTTATTTACCAGGCTGGAGTCCCACTTCGCAAGTGGGCTCGCAAAAGTGTTCGGAAGGGTGGGAGCGGGGTCTTGGAAAACCCTCCCTAGTCTCCTGTGCTACTTCTGCCTGGACAAACAGGTCGCAGTCCAACTTCTTTCCCTCATATATATTTGTATATACACTCATGCAGTAAAGGTATCCCTGTGCAGAGGAGGAGGAGGAGGAGGAGGAGGAGGAGAACGGTTTGGTTGTTCTCACCATTGTTGTTCAGGGAGGGGTTAAAATAAAATACGGACTTACAGAAGCCAAACATGAGTGGCAAGAAGAGCAAGGTACTATTACGTCCTGGCCTGTGCAGTTGCAGATGCAAAAAGTCTGACGGCTGCTCTGGCAGTGAGGACACCCGTTCGCAGCTGTTCAGCACCCCTCGCCCCCCACCGCACAGCACAGATTTATTAACACCCTAGTCCAAAACGTAAGTGCCCCTGGAGCTCCCCAAGCTAAGCAAAGAGTGTGCATGTGTAGGATTGTGTGTAGGTTTCCTTGTTCAGGGCCAGCGATTCAAACTCATGGCATGTAAACAAAGGTAACTGAAGGCAAAAACAAGGCCACTGAGAGTTCTAAGAAGCAGAAAATTAGTATTTTCCATGTCATAGAAAAGAATATTTTTCACTGTTTCCTGTTGTTAATCATACTGTTGATGAAGCATGCCCCCCACCTAATATTCCCATTGAGCTGTCAAAATCTTTCCCCCTGCAAATTATACTTTCAAGTCTGGCAGTTGTGTGTTTCAATTAAATGCAAACACAGCTCAAAGAGAGTGTGTGTGTGGAGAATCTTTATTTGTTGCATAACTCTCTGTTTATTTTCCAGTCTATATTTTATTTCTCTGAGACACACTATCCTAGGTAACAGCTCTCTGAAACTACAAAATGAAGTCATCAGTGGCCAGTTTTTAATTTTTTTTTAAACTATTCTTCCTTCTGGCACAAGGGGAGGATATTTTAATTAAAAAAATGAAACAAAACAAACAAGCCAAAAGCATATGTCCCTCACAAAATGAACTGCTTGGCTCATTTGACTCTTAGGACATCTTTAACCACAGTCGGGAAGCTGACTTTTAACCATCAAAGTGCTACAGAGATGGAGGCGGGGGTAGCAGGGGGACAGAGACACTGCATGCTCCACTGCAGGCAACCTTGCCACATGAAAATAAAAAGAGATTACAAGGAAACATTAAAAAGAGAATAATAAACATCCTCATTCTGGACGTGTCTGCATGTGTGCAGGCGGGCAGGGGTTGGGAAGAGCCTTGGCATTACAGCGCCGGAGGTGTTCGTTTTGTTTACAAATGCAGAGCATCACATTGGGAAGGCAACCTATGCTCGATGAGGCTAGTAAAATCAGAACCATCATAACCAGTAGCTGAGCTGGGATGCAATATTTAAAGAGACGATGGCGGCTGAGGGTGAAATAAAATGAGCAGCATGCAAAAGGCAGCGGAGGTGGCGATGGAAAATGGCAGAAGTATAAAAACATGATCTTTCACAAACTTTCCTTGAAAAGCATGAGGAGGCAAAGCAAGGCCGGGTCTTGTGGATGGGGGTTGCCTGCTCAGATCGGGAAGGTGCAAGGAAGCAGCAGTGCAAGCAGCATAATTTACACAAACACCCTCCAATATATGCGTGTTGTCTACTTACAGACCGTCTCTTTCAGCTTTCTGACCGAGGGGGGAAAAGGAGGCTGCTGGAAATTGATCTAATATGAAGGGCTGGGATTCGTGCCACCTTTCTCCCCCTTCTTTTAATGGGAGTAATAATAATAGCAATAACAAAAAACAAGAAAGAAAGAGAGAGAGCGAGAGAGAGAGAGAGAAAAGGGGAACACAGGAAAAGTGGTCTGTCTGATCGCTCTCCACACCCCTGCCTGCCAACTCCGAGCAACAAAAGGGAGAGACCCGGAGCAAGGGGATCGCATGGGGCCAGAGGAATCGCACATGCCTCGCGGTGGCATCGCCATCGCTGTCTCCCCGAGGAGGGCAGGAGGGCAGTGAGCCTGGGAAGGCGCGGGGCGGGGGGCTCGGAGGAGAGGACGAGCGCGCCAGCCTTCTCCCACCCCCCTCCCGAGTGCTCTCGACACGCACGAGCTGGAGAAGGATTAGGGAAGAAATCATATTCACCTTCCCGCCTCATGCCCACTTTGAGGCACTTCTTGAGGCGGCAGTACTGGCACTGGTTGCGGTGGTGCTGATCGATGGGACAGTTCCGGTTGGCCCGGCAAGTGTACGTTAAGTTCCTGCGGACGCTCCGCTTGAAGAAACTTTTGCAGCCCTCGCAGGTGAACTGCCCGTAGTGCTTGCCGCTGGATTTGTCGCCGCAAACCACGCACTCGATGTGCTGCTGCTGCTGCTGCTGCTGGCCCGAGCCCTGCTGCTGCTGGCCCTTGTCGCCCGGCGTGGACGGGGCGCCCGGCTGGCTCGGCGTCTGCGGCGTGTGGGGGGCCGCCGAGGCCCCTTGCTGCGGATCTCGGCCCGGCTGAGCTGCTCCGGTGGGGCCGCCCCCGGCCACGTCCTCTTGCGCATCTCGCCAGCTGCTAACTACCATTGCCATATCTCGGGCCCACAGAGGAAAAAAAGGGGGGGGGCTGCCGGGGAAGAGGCTGGGAAAGGAGGGGGTCGGGGTGGGGTGGGGAAGGGGGGTGGGGTGGGGTGGGGGAGAAGAAGGGCGTCTGCCTGGCTCGCGGGGGCAGAGGCGAGGGATCGGGGCTCCTCCGCCTCTCTGCTGCTACTGCCGCCGCCGCCGCCGCCGCCTCTTAGCGGCTATCGCTCCGATTCCTTTCTGCTCCTTTTCCCCTGCCCTGCCCCCCGCCTGACCTCCTTCCTTCCTCCCTCCCTCCCTCCCTTCCTTCCTCCCTTCCTTCCTTCCTCCTTCTCCCTCTCCCCCCTCCAATTTGAGGGTGATTTTTCGTGAAGGGGCAATGGAATTCCAGAGGGCTTTTAACCCCCCCCTCCGATCTCCCCCCCCGGATCGGTAGTGCTTCTCCCGTCCCTTCTTCCTTCCTTCCTTCCTCCCTCCCTTCCTCCTTCAGCTCCTTCCCTCCCTCCCCCCAGAAACGTGTCCTTTTTCAAGTTGCAAAACCAGCCAAGGCGAAGTGGGCTGTTGGGAAAGGCATTCAGGAGGGTCACCCTGGGGAAGAGCCCGGCAGGGGGAAGGGGCGGCGGGGGAGAAGGGCAGGAGGTGGAAGAGGAGGAGGAGGAGGAGGAGGAAGCGGAGGCGATCGGCTCGCCGGACGCCCGCCCCGGCCAGCCAGCCCCGCACCGTCCGCGGGCTAGCAGCAGGATCCGTCGGCACACCGGCGAGGAACCAACGCGGAGGAGAGAGCCCGGAGTTGTCCGCCTTCGCCGCCTTCGCCGCCGCCGCCGCTGCTGGTAAGGCTGCCGGAGCTGCGGCCGCCTCCGTCGCCGCCGCCACCGCCGCCGCCGCTGCTCGCCGCCGGGCCCCGGCCGGGGGTGCCGCCGCTGGATCGCGCCCGTCGCCGCGAGGCTGGGAGTGGAGGAAGGCCGGCGCCGGCGCGGCCGAGGCGCGGCTGCCGCTCAGGGCGCGCGGGTGTCCGGGGGCCAGGTCCGAGGCAGCGCGGCGCAGTCAGCCATTCAGGAGAGGCGCTTCGGGAGGCTCCGGCGGCGACGTGGAGGACGCGAGAGCCGAGTTGGGGAGACACTTTGGGGTGCTCCTGCCGCCGCCGCCGCCGCTGGTGCCGCCGCCGCCGCCGCCGCCGCTCCTTGCAGTCCTGCCGCCGCCGCCGCCGCCGCCGCTTCTTCGCTCGGTTCTCTCCTTCTCTCGCTTTCCTCTCTTAATTTCGGTGGGAAAGATACAAAGGCACAGCCCAAGCCGCTTCGCGCTCGCCCAGCATACGGAGGATCCCCAGCCAAGTGCCAAAGCAAAAAGCGAACATGGAGAGAAGCGAATGTCACACACACGAAGGGGAGGGAAAAAGCCAAAGGAGAGAGAGAGAGATCCAAAGTAGGTCGAATAAATAAACCCTCTTCTGCTTGCGCCTTGCTCGCCCGCGCTCCTTGCCTTCTTTCTTCTTCCGTGCTGCTGACAATAATCACTGGAAATCGCCCAAGAAAACCTTTCTTGCTTGCTTGCTTGCTTTTTTTTAAGAAAAGAAAAAAAAAATTCGGAGAAAAAAAAGCACACACAGACACACACACAAAAAACCCTCAGCAGCCAAGACCAAAACCCTCCCCCAAATTTAAAAAAAAGTGTTAAAATTGACGATACGAAGATGTTAAAAGGCGTCCCCTTTGCTCTTTTCTTTTCTTTGCGGTCTTTTCTTTTCCTTTTCCTTTTAAGTTTTCCCTCTCTCTAGCCTCATGGAGGAAGGAAGCGAAAGGCAGAGGGAAAAGAAGGGTGGAAAAAGAGGAGGAAGAAGGAGATAAAGAAAAAAAAAACAAACCCTTCAACTAATAGAATATGCAAGAAAGGAGAGAGAGAGGTGTAGAGGGAGAGAGGGAGAGAGAGAGAGAGAGGGAGAGAGAGAGAGAACCAAAAAATGAATGCGTTTAAACGGGAAGACTAGCAGCGCAATGTTTCCGAAAGGGGGATCTGCGCGAATGTCTGTATATAGTGAACTTTGACACTACTATTGAAACTGACACGTTTCTATGGAGATCGCTGCCTTATATGGAGCTCATGTCAAGGAGCCAAGAGAGGGGCTGCTGGCAACTGATAATCAAAGGCGACTGACTGGTCAGAGCCCTGAATTGGGGGGAGAGAAAATGGGAGGCTAAGGTTAGCCAAGCCTCCCTCTCTCTATTGGCTGAGGTCTCCTCTCTCTCTGTCTCCCTCTGCCTCTTTCTCTCTCGCTCGCTCGCTCCCCCCGCGCCTTTCTTCTTCGCTACCTACTGACTGAGATGGGAAGGAGGGAGGGGGAGGAAAGAAGAGGGAGGGAGGGGAGGAAGGAGAGCAGGAGGGAGGGGGGCTCTTCTGACAAGCACAATTTACATTGAGATCGCCCTGCTCTGCTATTTACTTTGAGACCTGATTAGTATGGGTCGTCTATGGTCACACACACAGACACACACGCACGGGCAAAGACGGGGGGGGGGGAGAGCGCGATGCATTGCGATAGGGGAAAGGGGAATTAAGAGGAAATTATTTTGGCTCAATCTGAAAAGTTTTTTTAATTAGATTTCTCTGTGTCTCTTTGGGTTTCCCCCCCAACCCTTCATTCTTCCAAAAATATCCTGATTAGGAATTACAGTACTTGGATTGGATTCCATTGTTTAATGACTGCACCTAGATGGCTAAGGAGATTCCATAAGGAATGTAAGTATTTAAAAATACATTTATGGTTCCATATGTTCCAGTCCAACACGCCCCCCCCCCTTCCTCTGCTATCACGTTGCTTTGTTTCTTTCAGTTAAATGTTCTCCTAGGGTTGGTTTTGGGTTGTAATTTTTAATACGTTTTATAACAGTCACTTGCAGGGTGGAATTTGCGTGATAAGAAACCAATGGCTCTTTTCACTTGGAGATTTCCTCCCTTTTTAAACTTCTACTATATATAGATATATTTTCTATTAATGTGTCTTTCTTCCTATTTCTTTCTTCCACGTTTGTTTTTAAACACCCTCAGTAATGAAGAATTTTTGAACAAACGCTAAGGGGTCGTTTTTGCAGTCAACCTGAGAGGTTCGATGCGTGCGAAGGAAAGTTCAAGTAAGAGAAGGAGAGTTTGGAGGAGTTTATACTGGGAACCGAGTAGGTGGAGGTGGTGTGTGCGCGCGCGCGCGCGTGTGGCGGGGAGGAACCGACAGATTCCCCTTCGGCTGTGCTAGATAGAATCGCTGGATCGTGCTGCCATCTAGCGGACAGGGAGAGAGAGGTGAAAATGCAGTTTCTTTTCCTCCCCCTTCTTTCTGCGGTTAAGAAAGAAAAAGCGAGGGAGGGGGAAGGAAAAAAGCTACTGTCGCTAGCGAAGGAGTAAGGAGACACTAAAATATCTGAATGGATCTTTCTCTTATGTGCCGCCCCCAGAACCTTGCATGTCTGTGTGGGCAACCCCTTCCCTCTGGATGCGTTCCCATTAGCTTCTGGATTGCACCTCCACTCCCGCTTGTATTCTCTTCTTTTCAATATTTCTCCCATCTTTCCAACTTCTATAAAGTTCTATTAGCAGGAAAGGGGTGGAAGGACAGTGGGACTGTAAAGGAAGCAGAGGGAAAAGTTGCGAGCTTTGGCATGCCATTCTTTCCCGGTCTTGCTGTTAAAATCTCGGAGCCCACAACTGAGAGGAGAGCCTGGATCTGAAGACACGGTTTGCGATTTGGTGGAAATATAATGAAGGGAGATTTCTCCCCCCCCCCCATCAGCTTTCCCTGCCAAGCCGTCCCTATTGTAGATTGCATTGATTAAAAGGATGGTATTGACTATGCAACAGTAGGGCTCTCTCGCCTGCCCCTCTCTCTTTCTTTCCCAATAAACTCTCCGTCCTGTCTTCTGTGGTCACTGAAAAGGTGAAACGAATAAGATTAAATCAGACTCTCTCTCTCTCTCTCTCTCTCTCTCTCTCTCGCTCTCTCTCGCTCTCTCTCTCTCTCTCTCACACACACACACGCTAGTTCTGTATGTATATCATCTAAGATTTTACTCCCCAGACTGAGCGAGAGACAGAGAGAAAAAAGAGGCAGAGCAAAAGAGAGAGAGAGAGAGAGAGAAGACGAAGGGAGGTGGGGAGAGAAAGAAAGAGAGAGAAAGCCTGGGAGAAGGTACACAGAGAGGCACCCGCTCCTTGACAAGGTTTCTTCGCAGTCCGGATCCCGTCAACTGGCCACCAGCAGCAGCCCTCGGCTATTGAAGGCAAGTAACGTTCGGTTTCTGTAGCCCGTGTTTCTGAAGAGGTTAGAGAGAAGCTGGGAAGCAGCATCCAGTTAGAGTTGGGACACCCCCCTCGCACTTCCCAACCTCCTCCGACAGAGCGCCACTAAAGCAGCAACTTGTCCAGGGCAACTTAAAAAAAAGAGAAAAAGAAGAACCTCACCACCCCCCTCCCCGCTTCTCTGCAGCATCTCGCCTCTTTTGCCGGAGACTCGGAGAGGTATCCCCAGTTCAGGCCTGGCCGCATTTCCAAGCCAGGTTTCCTCTGAAAGATGGGGTGGTGGGGGTGGTGTTTCCCCCTCATCCTCTGTGGGTGCGTGCGCGTGTGTGCGTGTCGGGGGGGTGGCAGTGATTCACTGGCGGCTACTGGAAGAAGTTAGCAGACTAATGGATAGATGCTTCGGTCCTGTCCTGAAAATCTATTGATGGTCTCACTCCGAAGTCCGTGGACCATGTAGAAAACTCGGTGGCTTACGTGCTGTGACACGAACTTTCTTAGCAAACAGCCTCGGGTGGGAAGTAAAGATATGAACGTGGATCTCTCAGCACCCAGAGCTGAGTCCTAGGGTCCTCTCTTGCCTAGGTACGTTTAGGAAGAGGTTAACAGAGCCATCCCTTGGAGCGCTGCTGTGTATTATTATTCCACGATGACTTTTCATCTCCTAAAATGGGATGCCAGGGTGCTTACAGCCGACTAGAGTCAGCGTGCTAATGCTTGTTGTCTTTCCCCTGCTCTGTTTGTTATTTGATCACCTAATGAAAAGATCGATTGCAGCCTGTTTATCTGGGGGTGGGGGGAGAGTGTCAGCAGATTAAAGGGACAACAGCGAGATACACCGAAGGGGAGAGAGAGACAGACAGACAGAAAGACATTGCATCCATCCATATAACATGTTAGAAATAATTACAAAATCTGCCCTCGATTGCAGGTGCGTTCGGTCCCTCTTCCCTCTTCCTAGAAATGGCTCTTTTCATACCTGGAAGGTCACTGCCGCAGTTCTAAGAACAGTATAAAAGAGCACCCATCCAGTCCCATTTTATGTAGGGTAGTTACGGCGAACGGTGGCCGTTTTGATGGGTTCTCAGGGCAGCTCAGCCTTTTGGGGCGATGAACAGTGGGAAAGGGACAACACTTTAGGCTGGGAGAAATGGATTCCTCAACAGGAGGGATCCATAAACTCTTCCAAAGGAGCTGTTTCAGTTGTTTCAGATGGAGAAATTTTTGTCAATCTCTCTTTTTCTCAGCAACAGCACTTACAGAAAAACAAAGCAAAGAAATATGGACTTCTCACTGTAATTGGGGAGCTGGCTTTTCCCAGCGTTTGGCACCTATGCCCCTGGCACATGGCCCCCAAATTAGAAACAAGCTCCTATTTCTCCGCTTGGCACCCCTGCCTTAATGGTTAACCATGTTTACAAGGAAATCGCCGAGGTTTCCGTGGCGCTCCTCTCTGTTGACAATCCTAGCCGGGGCTGCGATGGGCAAATCGGTTAAGCAGAGGGAGCTGCTAAACCGGTTGAACCTCAAATAGCAGGACTGCCAAATGACATTTTCAGATGTCAGGGCCCCGGCGCGGGGGAGGGGAGGAAGATCTGAAGCAGGGCACCACACGGCAAGCTGCGGGCGCCTGAAGCGGGACGGTGCGGGAAGAGAGGATATTAATCAAGCTGGACGAGGCTGTAACGCTCTGGGAGTGAGGGGCGTGAGGGGTGCATCGGGCGCACCGTCACGGTCCTGCGAGAGAGGAACCTGTATTTTTCTTTCGTATTTCAGTGAAGGCTTAACATCGGGTCGGGGGCATTTTATAGGGAGGCAGAGCCGCCGCCAGAGTTTAAGGCCACGAGCCACGACACTCTGGCGTGCAAGGAACCTCGCCTGTGTGAAAGCCGTTGGATTTACAGCCGCCGAGGCCGGACTTCTGTACCCGTTGCCTGGGGAGTAAGCCCGATCGACTCTCACGGCAGCTACTCCCGAGTAGACACGGGTAGGATGGCCCTGTGAATGGGCTAGGAGAGGCGAACTCAGCCCTGAAGGGGACACACGTACCTCCCCGCTGGCTGAAGGAAATCTGCTATGACTGTCCCAACTTTTCCGAGCTCTTTCTTGAAGCACGCCTGAGTTACTATTATTATTTTTAAGAAAGAAAGCTACCGAACCCAGTTAAAGAGAAGGGAACAATGACACCTAAACGCAGGGCTGGAAAACTATATGAGTGTGGAGACCTGCTGGTAGCATCCATTCCATGTAGGCCTAATTCCTCTAAAACGTGCAGAGTTATATGTATGTGTGTCCTGTAGAATATATTATTACAGTGTGTTCATGCATAGATGTGCATCTTTGTTAGAACAGTCTGCTATGGAAAGATACCATAGGACAGGGCTCCTCAAGCTCTCCTAAGTGGGGGAAATATGTTACATTCTTTTAGCAACTTTGAGCAGCTCGCTCCCTGTTCTGGTAAGGGATCCAGCTGCATTTCGTTAGGACATGACATTTGGGAAGTGCTTTTTAAAGCACACATATGCCATTCCCCTTCTACATAGATCAACCTAAAACAGACCCAGAAAGCCATACGGAAGGCGTGCTCTGAATTCTGTTCTCTCGCTTTCACAAACTACCAGCATGCTGGGCCGTTTGCCCCACAAATCGCGAGCTAGCGAGCGAGCACTTCCCACTAATCCTTGACAAGCGCTGCATCTCAGCTTTGGGATGCCCGATCCATCAGGCTGCAGGTCAGCGGGTCGAGGGGCATCCTCTTCCAGGAGCCTTTCCAGTCTTTGGCGAATATTCATGGCAGCGCGGGCATTTCTGCCCCCTCCCTTCCGCCCCTGCCCAAGCGCCTTCCCCTGTTACAGTGCATGGCGCCCTTGCTGGCTCTTGACCCGATCTCGCATTGGCGAGGGCGGTCGTGTCCAGCGGGGCCAAGTCCGCGAACGAGCCGGCCCGGGGCAGCGGAGCGGGCCCAGCGATGCCGCTCCCCCGGTGAGCGGAAGTAGGCCCCATTCCCCGCCAGCAGTGCCGGGTCAGTCGCTCCTCTCTTCCCGCCGCGAGCTTGTTCCAAGCGCGGTGCTGCTCCCGCCCCACTTCCTCGCCTGCCCGTTTCTCTGTCACCGCGTGTTATCTGTGTGAATCTAGTTGTCGACAGATTGCGGGGATAGCTGTCGCCCCACCCTCTCATTCACCGTGGACCGGCCTTTTCCAGGTAAAGTAGCCTCCAGTGGATTCTGGCTCCCGGCTGCAAACAGCCACCGGCAACCTGGCGCTTCGCTTGGTTTTAGAAAGGAGGCACCTGCGCCCTTAGACAAAGCTGCCGCCTGCCCACGGACCGTCGCTTCCGTGCGCGGCGTGTGCAGGCGCGGCCGCCCGGGCATTCCTGCGGTTGCACGAGAGCCCCCGACCGACGCGAACCTGCTCTCGGTTCTCTCTGTTCTCACTTTAGGAAGCAAGGTGTC